GGACGTCGCAAAATATTTTCTGGACATACGAAAAATTTTCCCAAGATATCGTAATTTTCGCGAACATACAAAAAAATTTTCCGGACATATCATAATTTTTCCGACCATACAAAAATTTTTACAAATATTCTGTTGTGATTTACTGTATCTGTTCTGTAGCAGTTATCAATTTATTGGCAAATACCGTGATAAAATTAAGTTTTGTTTTTGTATATGATAATTTGCAGCAAAAGGGATACGTGTTGCGTTAGATTCATTGCATAAAAGGTGCGAAATTTAAATTTTATCACGGTATTTGCTAGGGATGAGCCGATAAGGAAAATTGCCGATTACTGAGGCCGATTATTTATAAGCCGATTATTGTAACTAATCGGCCGATTAATCGGTACCCACCGATTATTTTAAAAAGCAAGCGAAAAATCACAAGATGACCAACAATGAAGTTGTAACTTGTAAATGCGATTTTATTGTTTACAATACACACTTCGTACAATTAAAAACAGCTTCAGTCTCTCATGTCAATAGTCAAAGTTTAGTTTTGCCAGATTATGGTGTAAAAGCAAGAAAATATGCGGAGCTAGTCTGCTGCGCTTTTTTAGTGGAAATGTTCCCAGCTTCACTTCGCTTGAGACGAAAGGCACAGGTTTCGCAACAAAATGTGAAAATCTATTCGCTTGTATTCAGTATTTTAGCATGTGATTGGCAGCTGCAGAAAAAGTCTTATGGCCGATTATTTGCCGATTATCAGGCAATAATCGGCCGATTACGGATTATTTAAAAAACGGCCGATTAATCGGCCGATTATTTACCGATTAATCGGCTCATCCACTATTTGACTATTTGCCACTGATTACAGAAGATAAATAATTAATGAAATAATTGTACTCCTCTCAACCAATCAGCATCCAGTAATTTTGTCGTGCTAATAATAATGACTGTAATACGACAATCCCGAAATAATTTTGTAATCCATTTCCTAATGTTAGGTTGGGATGATGAAGAGGGCTTGCTTGCAGCGGTTCTGGCCGAGTCACAGAAAGAATATTTAGACAGTTTAAAACGAAACATGAAAGACCATCATGACAGCAGTAACAAAGGGCCCTCACCCAAGAACTGATGTAACGCAACAAGGCCTAGAACTTAATCTGTTCTGGCCAAGATTGCCGAGTCGGGCACTGCTTGCTAGGCCTGCGAAATTGAACCGCGTAAAAGCAATGATTTTGGCCGATAATGGTTTTAATTCATCTTGCGTTGTAAATTGAACTGACCGGGTAAAATTCTCTGTCGGGGTAAAATTGCAGTTGGACTGAAGATCTAAAATATGCATATCAAATGATCATTTATTTGTGTTTTGCGTATAGTTATTTTGCTGGTCTAAAAATTGCTCAAAGGATAGTTATATATATTGCAAAGTGCTCAACTCTTCAATGGTGTATTGATGTTTCACATGCATATTTTAAATCCTCCGTCCTACGTGCTATTATTGTACAACTGCAACGTATATCGACGCAGAACGATTTGCATGCCGTGCAGTTCACCCATAATTATAATGGAGGGTTCTGTAAGCGACTGAGCCCGCGATATGATTACGTCACAAAATTAGGTCAGCGGTCACGTTCACCAAAACCTCGTCTTGGGACTCGTTTCAGTCCCTCGGCGAAAACGCGGTGCGCAAAGCGCAGAGTTTCGAGACGGCCTAGCCGGTGCTTGCGAATTGAGAGTACGTATATATGAACAGTATATATGTGATTTGTACTCAATGACAATGTGTATAACATTTGTGCTTTAAATTTGTATCTCGTGTAGATAGCTAATAGCAATATGAAATTGTGTATAAAGATATATTGATGACAATATTAATCGTATGTAGTTTTAGTTGGGTTCGTTTGTAATCATTTCAATTGGAGTGGGTAGAAATATTTAAGAAACGTTTCTGAGAGTGATTTTTGTCGGGGTTTTTGACTCAGGATTCGCAACATCCGTAAGTCTTTGTGATTACTTGAGTGTGGGGCAGGTAAACATTGGGAAATTTGTGCGCACTGTTTGCCTGCGAATCGGGCCTTTCATAACCGGAAATCGGGCTGCAGCACGCGGCAAAATTCCCACGATGCTCGCTTGCAAAGGAACTGCAAACTGTTCTAATTCTGTCGCTTTCATTTGATCTCATCCGTGAGTCTTCCTCAACGGCCTTTGATTAAGTTTTACACTCGAGTCGATCTTGCACACGCGCGAATGTTCATTAACGTCACGCCAAGAATGGACCATTCCCCAATTAATCAAAATTTTGAACTCAACAAGTCTAGACAAAAATTTCATCACAGCTTGAAAGAGCATCACAAAATTAGTAATATTCCAAAGTTTCGTTGCAAAATGTTGTAAAATGCGGATAATATATAGCCTTGCGAAGTTTGCAATTTTCAGTCATTTTAGATTACAAATGGGAAATGGTTACCACTTCTGTGCGTAATACAAAATGACTGAAAATTACAAACTTCGCAAGGCTATATTATCCGCATTTTACAACATTTTGCAACGAAACTTTGGAATATTACTAATTTTGTGATGCTCTTTCAAGCTGTATTGAAATTTTTGTTTAGGCTAGTTAAGATCAAAATTTTGGAAATGTGGTAACCATTTCCCGTTTGTAATCTAAAATGACTGAAAATTACAAATTTCGCAAGGCTATATTATCCGCATTTTACAACATTTCACAACGAAACTTTGGAATATTACTAATTTTGTGATACTCTTTCATGCTATGATGGAATTTTGTCTAGACTTGTTGAGATCAAAATTTTGGTTAATTGGGAGAATGTCCATTAACATTGTCTGAATTCGCTGAAAATGACCTTTCTGAATTCGTATTTTTCCATATTTGGAGATCTGCCATAGTCTACCAAGATATCATGTCAGAACAGAATTCATTGTGTTATGTTTTTTTGTCTGAGTTTACACAAGTAGAAACGCCCAAGTAGTTACAAGTCTGATAATATCAACAAGCTGTTCACAACTTGTAACAAGCTTGATGGCATCAGACTTGTTACAAGGTTGTTCTAACAAGTCTGCTACAGTCGTGATATAATAAGATACAAGGATGTTCTAACAAGTCTGGTACAATCGTGATATAACAGAGTTGTAACAATATTGTTATATCATGACTTTATCGGACTTGTTAGAACAACCTTGCTACAAATCTGATAATATGAACAAGCTGTTAACAACTTGTACCAAGCTTGATGGCGTTATCAGACTTGTTACAAGGTTGTTCCAGACTTGGAATTATCTTCCTACAAGTCTGATAATATCAACAAGTTTGTTACAAGCTGTTAACAACTTGTAACAAGCTTGATGGCATTATGCTTGTTACAAGGTTATTCCAACAAGTCTGATACAATCATGATCATATAGCAAGAATGTTACAAGGTTGACGACACAAGGTTGTAACAATATGGTCATATGACTGTATCGGACTTGTTGGAACAACCTTGCTACAAGTCTGTTAATATCAACAAGCTTGTTACAAGCTGTTTAAACAACTTGTACAATATTGTTATATCATGACTGTATCAGACTTGTTGGAACAACCTTGCTACAAGTCTGATAATATCAACAAGCTTGTTAGGTAAGAGTTAATTACCGAGAAGGAGGGCTTTATGCTATATACAGCCCCGAGAACGCGAAGCGTTCGAGGGCTTTATATAGCATAAAGCCCGACATTCGAGGTAATTAACTGACTTATTTCATGATTGAAGAGGTTTTCTAACAAAGTTTTATTCTTTTTTTTCGATTTCGACAAGTATTTTTCTAGTTTTCTCGCTTATTTCTTGACTAATTAGGGCTTTATGGTATTCAAGGGCATTATGCTATATACAGCCCGCGGTACATCAAAGAAAACCGAGTCAATCATGAAATAAAAGCTGTTAACAACTTGTACAATATTGTTATATCATGACTGTATCAGACTTGTTGGAACAACCTTGCTACAAGTCTGTTAATATCAACACGCTTGTTACAAGCTGTTTAAACAACCTCTACAATATTGTTATATCATGACTGTATCAGACTTGTTGGAACAACCTTGCTACAAGTCTGTTAATATCAACACGCTTGTTACAAGCTGTTTAAACAACTTCTACAATATTGTTATATCATGACTGTATGAGACTTGTTGGAACAACCTTGCTACAAGTCTGATGATATCAACAAGCTTGTTACAAGCTGTTAACAACTTGAATACAATATTGTTATATCATAACTGTAACGGACTTGTTGGAACAACCTTGCCACAAGTCTGATAATATCAACAAGCTTGTTACAAGCTGTTTAATCAACTTCTACAATATTGTTATATCATGACTGTATCGGACTTGTTATGGAAAAACCTTGCTATACAAGTCTGATAATATCAACACGCTTGATAATATCAACAAGCTTGTCACAAACTGTTAACAACGTGATGGCATTATCATATTTCTTACAAGGTTGGTCTAACAAATCTGATACTGGACATGATATTATTTATTTATTTATTTATTTATTTAACAAGAATGTTACAAGGTTGACGACACA